ATGTTGATGTTTCATAAAAAATTGAGCAATTTGATCAATGTTATTTATTAAATGCAAGTTATGGCATTTCTTCTTTGCAAATATTACTGAAAAATTTGTTCATCTTCATTAATTGCAAAATAGGAACAACTGTGACTTAATTTAACTTTAAAAAATTAATTCTATTAATCTTAAAATAATTATTAATTATACCCATTGTTTGTATTGTTTTACATATTGTATGCATATTTTAAGCGTGTATTTTTACATGATTAGTTAATATACTTACAATTAACTCGATCGTGTTTGGTTAGCATTCTGAAATCCATTTGTGCTACCACAGGTGGTTGTTACATATATTTCAAAACACGGCAACGATTTTAAGTATAGGTTAATTCAGTACTATTTTGATAAGTTTCCTAAACTTACTACTTGCAAAACTTACACGTACGCGGAGTTGTTAAAACTCACTTTTTAAACTATAAACGTCACTAACACCGAAGCACAGTTATTATTGGTCGTGATTAATTTTATTATTAGAGCATTACCTTTAACATGTAATTAATTAACCAATGTATTTATTCCACAGTTCATTCGTTATGAGATGAACAAACGCGGCTGGACAGGTACGTAGCAAACGAACTAATAACCGATATGGCGCGAAACAAACACGACAAAAGTCTCATGTATAAATTCACGTTCGAACTATATACTACATAGTCTGTGCTTGTCTATGGTATGTGCATTCTCTACATCTCTCAAGTTCTATAACAATATTTCTTAAAAATATAATATAAGTAGTGGTCTACACCATTGCGCACGTGCTTCAACAAAATGTAGCAACCGGTCTGACAGCTGATTTGTTGACGCCTCCCTTTTGGAGTACTTTTTTGTACACTCACGCCTCACGCATACGCTGTTTATTATTTTTTTCATGAACAGATTTAATCAGTATATGTTCTCAAGTTGTTTACCATTGTGAAAAAATTCCATAATACGTCACAACAAATTTGGAGTAATTTTTTATTGCAAATTGTAGTAAATATCTAGGAACAAAGACAGTTTTTAATGCTTATCTATCATCTAGTAACAAAATTTTAAACAGAATTTGCTTTATAGTGCCATCTTTTCATAAACGATAAAACTATAGTGCCAATGAATAAATTATATACATATACATAGAAATATAATATCAATGCAAAGTATAATTTCAAAAGGCAAAATAGTCAGTATTTAAATCCATTTTCGGTCAGTATAAAAATACTACTCACCTTTCATATTTACATACTGACCACCAAACGTTAGTGGCTATATGGATAAAAATTATTGGTAAAAAAAAAATTAATAAGAATAATCGCAATTTAAACAATAAAAAGAAACTTAAAAGCACTCAAGTTTATTCTCTTTGAGAAACCTTGCACAAGTACAATACACATTCAATCAATTAAATTAATGAGGTGCATAAGAATGAATCACATTTTACAATTAGCACAATGTATACATATATAATTGATTAATAAAATAATGACTTAAAAAAACAGAAACACAAACTTATTCAACAAAAAATAATAATNAAATTTAAATACTGACCCTATATCCTACATCATATTTTAATGTATACAGTAGAATCCGCTTATAATGACATCGAAGGGAAATGACAAACACTTCATACTAAGCGAGCGTCATACAAAGCATAGTCTTAAGAAAATAAACAACTTTCTATTTTGGTTAGTTATTTAGTTTAATACAGAGAAAAACTACAAATTGTATATATTTATTAACAGAAAAAGAAAAATTGTAATATCAATATATCAGCAAAATAAGCGAAAATGTTATTATTAATCATTTGGATCACTATAGATGATTCCTTGAGCATCAATCATAATAAACGATATGTCATTTTAAACGGAGTAATTATATCCAAACTTTCCTGTAGAGAATTTAATATGAAAACCAAACTTAACACTGCAATTACTTTATATTATGCGGTTGGTCATTATAGGCGGAGTCATAATAAACGAATTCCTCTGTACTTAAAACTATTGACTAAAAGACAAGCCATTTCAGTATAGTGTACCCCAAGTATAATCAAAATAAGCATCACAACGATTTCTGTTATTCAGATTCAGACATTAAGAAAAAGACGAAACGCTAAAGGTAATAACACTCCACTTTTTTATAATAATTTATGAAAAGTTGAAAAGGGTGGAATTTTGGCTAATGTTACAGGTTTTTCCAATTTTGTAACCGTAACATTGATCTACATTATTTCAGCATCCAAACGATAGATGGCCATTTGCACGATATTTTAAAATTTTTATTTAAAAAAATGTAATATTTATTTTCTATTTTACTATTTTTATTAATATTTTAAACCTATTACTTATTACCGTTGTGATATGTTCAAGTAGCTACTTCCTATTTCTACAGTATCGTGAAAATTAATTCACAATTTAGCTTTGCTAAATTTGATTACCTAGTGATAACATAAAAGTTACGTTATCGTTTAGAAACGTTCTAGTAAATTTACCTAGAATACTTTCATATAAATTTCTGCTTTAATTGTAACTAATTTTAAATTCATAATTATATTTAATCATCTTATAAATACCCAACATTTATTCCTTGATTTTCTACCAAGTATAATAACAGAGAAAACTTAAATTGAGTAAAATGCAATTTTAATGTTTCAAGAAGATTTTTAATAATGTTGATGTTTCATAAAAAATTGAGCAATTTGATCAATGTTATTTATTAAATGCAAGTTATGGCATTTCTTCTTTGCAAATATTACTGAAAAATTTGTTCATCTTCATTAATTGCAAAATAGGAACAACTGTGACTTAATTTAACTTTAAAAAATTAATTCTATTAATCTTAAAATAATTATTAATTATACCCATTGTTTGTATTGTTTTACATATTGTATGCATATTTTAAGCGTGTATTTTTACATGATTAGTTAATATACTTACAATTAACTCGATCGTGTTTGGTTAGCATTCTGAAATCCATTTGTGCTACCACAGGTGGTTGTTACATATATTTCAAAACACGGCAACGATTTTAAGTATAGGTTAATTCAGTACTATTTTGATAAGTTTCCTAAACTTACTACTTGCAAAACTTACACGTACGCGGAGTTGTTAAAACTCACTTTTTAAACTATAAACGTCACTAACACCGAAGCACAGTTATTATTGGTCGTGATTAATTTTATTATTAGAGCATTACCTTTAACATGTAATTAATTAACCAATGTATTTATTCCACAGTTCATTCGTTATGAGATGAACAAACGCGGCTGGACAGGTACGTAGCAAACGAACTAATAACCGATATGGCGCGAAACAAACACGACAAAAGTCTCATGTATAAATTCACGTTCGAACTATATACTACATAGTCTGTGCTTGTCTATGGTATGTGCATTCTCTACATCTCTCAAGTTCTATAACAATATTTCTTAAAAATATAATATAAGTAGTGGTCTACACCATTGCGCACGTGCTTCAACAAAATGTAGCAACCGGTCTGACAGCTGATTTGTTGACGCCTCCCTTTTGGAGTACTTTTTTGTACACTCACGCCTCACGCATACGCTGTTTATTATTTTTTTCATGAACAGATTTAATCAGTATATGTTCTCAAGTTGTTTACCATTGTGAAAAAATTCCATAATACGTCACAACAAATTTGGAGTAATTTTTTATTGCAAATTGTAGTAAATATCTAGGAACAAAGACAGTTTTTAATGCTTATCTATCATCTAGTAACAAAATTTTAAACAGAATTTGCTTTATAGTGCCATCTTTTCATAAACGATAAAACTATAGTGCCAATGAATAAATTATATACATATACATAGAAATATAATATCAATGCAAAGTATAATTTCAAAAGGCAAAATAGTCAGTATTTAAATCCATTTTCGGTCAGTATAAAAATACTACTCACCTTTCATATTTACATACTGACCACCAAACGTTAGTGGCTATATGGATAAAAATTATTGGTAAAAAAAAAATTAATAAGAATAATCGCAATTTAAACAATAAAAAGAAACTTAAAAGCACTCAAGTTTATTCTCTTTGAGAAACCTTGCACAAGTACAATACACATTCAATCAATTAAATTAATGAGGTGCATAAGAATGAATCACATTTTACAATTAGCACAATGTATACATATATAATTGATTAATAAAATAATGACTTAAAAAAACAGAAACACAAACTTATTCAACAAAAAATAATAATTAACTGATATTTTTAAGGGAATTTAAACAACGTTTTTATGTGTGCATTTTTATGTAACCTTTTCCTAGTTTTAAGTTACCAATTATCTAAGAAATCTAAACCAGTCTTTGGTACCACCGATGAAAATGAATCTTCATCATCATGCCAACTATTTTTATTACAGATGACATGAACTTTTGCAACTACTTCCTTCTAAAACATTTGAAATTGTATTTAACACTTCAATTAATATTTCTATTCAACTTAAGACACTTCTATATATTATATGCAATGTCTAGTGCATACACAACTTACCGTTTTTGGTTTCGATGTTTTCTTAATTTCACCCTGCATATTATCTGATGAGTCGTTTAGACAAATCGTTAGATCTCTTTGGCTTGGGGTACGAAAACTGAAGGGTGCTGAATGCTCATCTCTATAAGAACAGTTATCATCAATAACTGTTTTTGCAGCATACTCTTCTTTTGCAATTTCTTTACAACGAACTGTATTGTATTGTAGACAAGCTTCCGGTTTAATTATACTTTCATTCATGATTTGATTTTGTTCTTTCTCTGATAAACTTAACCACAATTTATCGTACGCAACTTTCGTTTCGTTCATATCGGTGTATAATCTCGAAGCCATCGTATTGATACTTCCAAAATACTGATCAGCTATACTTTTTAGCGACATTTTACCTTTTTTGTAGGTAAAAACGTAAAAATAAACTTAAACACTAAACAATTAAAATTACATGTTTTATTTACATTTGCCAAAGGTTGATGAACTGTACAAAATACAAATATGCAATGTGTATGTGTGCATGTGTTCCTTATCTATGATCTAGCCATAGATAAATAAATAAGCGTGTAATGCATAGAAAAAGCGAAAACGAAAAAAACATAGACTAAGAAAACCACCGTCCCATGTTAAGCATGCTACGCTAAAAGAAAATAACTGTAAAATATGCAATCGATCGGAAACCGTTTGTGAATTCTGATTATGCAAAAGAAAATAACAAATATATGCTATTTTCTATGATATATTCGTTACCATAGATACTTGAACATAGTATAGAGCATCCTTGGCTTTTAATGATAATTTAAACATCTTTCTTATTGTTTTTCGTAATAATTTATCGTATTATCTATGTCTACAGATTAATTTCTATGTCATGATTTCTTACCACAGATTAACGAAATATTAACTGTTTCCTAGTTAAATTTATAAATCACTATGATCACTATTTATGTTTCTTATCCTGTCAATGATTCTTATCAACATAACCGCATTGGTCAAGCCAAGTCATTTTTTGTAAATAAATTATTTTTTTGAATAATTAATTTAATAAGGTAGTAAACAGTAGTAAACCATGCCAAAAGTTGTGTCAAGAAGCATAGCTTGTTCGGATACAAAAGATCAAGAAGAATATGGAGATGAAAAACCATTACATATTTACTATTGCATTTGTGGACAAATGACGCTAATATTAGGTATTATTTTGATATTTCATTTAATTATATTTGATAACAACATGTTTCGTAGATTGTGCTATCGAAAAGCTACCTCTAAGGAAACGGGATGGAGCTCGTGTCCTAGATGCAGTGTATCATGCACATAAGGTAACGTGTGATACAGATGAGATTGTGTTTCTAAAACGTCTTGAGGGTATAGAAAAGCAACATCGGTTGAAGTGCAAAAAATGCGGGCTTTTATTATATTATAAGCATGATCCTTCAAGCCCAGTAATTTTTGTAGTCAAAGGCTCGATAATTAAATCAACAAGTGAAGGGCCTATTACAGACATTTATAATCAAGTTGCGATTGAAAAACCCAAGAAAATAATGGTTACCAAACATACCAAAAATATGGGAAAATTTAGTTCTGTTACTGTATCCACTATAGATGAAGAAGAGGATGAAATAGAGGCAGTAAGTTATGACTAATTATTGCACATGAAAAATTGTATGTTTAAAATGTTTTTTCATAATTTTTGTTTTTGTTTCTAGCGTGAAATTGCAGATAGTTACGCAAACAATGCCAGAATAATTGAGAAGCAATTAGAACGAAAAGGCATGAATAAAAGGAAACAAGAAATATCATCACAAATAGAAGTCAAAAAGTCTCGTGGAACACTGATAGAAAAATAATAAAATTAGGTAAATACATAATAAAAGTAGTTGGTAAAAACGCTTTTAATAAAAATAACCAAGCTATTACATTACAAATTCCATAGTAATTTCCATAAAAATTGAAATATTTAACAAAATTTCTTTTAAAAGTTGACTTGAACTTACATTTTGTGATTTGAGTAAGACTTTTTTATTAATAACCGTTGTTTTTGATAACTGTATTAAAAAGCAAGTACATTGTAAGTCTTTAAATAAATAAAACTAAAACTATATATGTATATAACTGAATCACATTCTTGTTTTGACATTTGTTATTTACGTATGCAAGGTTCTTGATTCCTTATACTGTATAGTGGTGTCACACATTAATAAACTACTGTTATTATCTTCATTTAGTTATTGAAAATAGATCACCTATGCATACCGGGCTACGACCTTTGTTGTTGACAAAAATTAAAAACTGGTTATTATAACTACATTTCAATTAAATACGTTAGAGGCACATAGTCGCAATTTTTATTAAAAAAAGACATTAAAACAAAAAATATACATCCTATACAGTAAAGTAATAATTTAATTAATTTTAGGATTACTTAGACTAGATCAATTACTACGAAGAAGTGGAGTAGTTTCTTCGGCAGGTCTACGATAACGCGAGCCCGCTTGTCTATAATGTCTATCGTGCAGGTACAATGTACTCAAACTCATATTTTCGATATTCGAATTAAGCGGCCCCTCCAATCTGTAAGCGTCGCCCCGAATGGAACTGTCCGTCAGATCTGCGTTGGTGTACAATTCTCCTTCACTGTGCGGCATGATGAGGCTGCTTTCTCTTTCAACAGCTTCAACAAATTGTTGAGCCTCTGGAGGGGGATGCCAGCTAGGGTTGGTCAACTTGAAATGCATAAGAGACAACTCCGTCTTCCCGTCCTCTGCCTGAGTGTACTGATTGGGAGCAGCAGCAACTGAAGTATAACCACCCTGCCAATCTGGATTCCCATGTTTTCGTACGTCCATTTGTGCAAAGCTACATACATCTCCCACACCTAAATAATTTACATAATAAAAAAGTGAAATTGGCTAAAGTATTATTTTTTCTCAATTTATACATATATAATTGATTAATAAAATAATGACTTAAAAAAACAGAAACACAAACTTATTCAACAAAAAATAATAATTAACTGATATTTTTAAGGGAATTTAAACAACGTTTTTATGTGTGCATTTTTATGTAACCTTTTCCTAGTTTTAAGTTACCAATTATCTAAGAAATCTAAACCAGTCTTTGGTACCACCGATGAAAATGAATCTTCATCATCATGCCAACTATTTTTATTACAGATGACATGAACTTTTGCAACTACTTCCTTCTAAAACATTTGAAATTGTATTTAACACTTCAATTAATATTTCTATTCAACTTAAGACACTTCTAGGTCTACCTCTACCTCTCCTAACTCTCCTTTCTGCCTCCTATATTTCTGACTAGACCTTCATACCTGAGAAGATGTCCTACCAACTTATCTCGTCTATTTCTTATTGANTTTTCTAAAACCTTTTAATATTTAGTTGTTCAACATAGAAAGTAGTTTCTCTTCATTTTTAAAAATAGAGACAAAATATTTTCTTACCAACAACGGATACAGTGAAGTTTCTGTAAAAGTCAACAAAGTCCAGCGTTCTTGGATAAATGTGCCTCCATAACAAATATGGTGTGATCAAAGGCGACAGAAGTTCTTCCAATACTCCAACCACACGAATTTGAAAGAGTTGTTGGAATTCCGACCGTACCCTCGTAGTGTGCGCTTGATTTTTCCATCCCGACGGTAAATAGTGTGTGTGAGCCAAAACATTGGCCAGTAATGTTTCAGGACACCATGCCATTGTTTCATCTGGAATTAAAGCTCTGCAGACTGCAACACTGGCACCCAACAACGTCATCATTGTCAGAACATGTTCAACTGATAGTACATCTTCATCATAAACTGTCAGAAGTAAAAGAACAGCCAACACTGCTCCACACATAAACGCGAATGAACGAGCAAACACGGTAGCCATTGGAGAACTAAAAGCTGACAAGTATTTGGTAGCAGGTCGATGAGCGCGATTCAGCCGGGCGTTCAATTCGTGATCAAGTTCGTTAAAGTGTCGTAAATATAAACGTCCATACAATGACCAATTTCGTACTCCCAAGCTTCCGGGTTCGCGTTTAATTACTTCTGCATAATTGAAAAAAGCATAAAGTATTTGCCAGATAAAGACTAATGGAGCAAATACAAGATTCGCTAATGCAAGCCAAAGAACATGTCGTGCTAGTTGTTTAGATAATTCGTGTCTCATATTTGGTTTCCTATAGTTTTCTCTGAGATGCCAAGGATTTTCAAAAGGTGCCCACGGTCCCCAAAACAATAAAAAGTAAATGTTGTGACGCAAACTTCGTGTCCAATAAACAACTTCCCCCACAAATGGTAATCGCAATCGAGGTGGCAGTAAGCATTTGTTAGCCATTGCTACCATATAATTTTGCTGCCTCAATATCCTGTGGTAAATATCAAGTTCACTTAACTCCCTTTTATGTATACACATCTGTTGTTCTAACTGAACGTTTCTCACTCTGGTTTGAATTTCATGCCATGTAAGATTGTCTAATTCTGAATCGGCTACATCTAGAGCAGTATTGAAGAACTGTTTTATATCCCAGAAGTGAAACATGTGGTACACACCACGTATTAGTCTTAATGTCCAAACTATTGCAGCTATACAAAGTGCAATCCATGTGAACAAACCAAAGTGGCTTTTACATTCCTGAGGCGAATATATTACATCTGCCATTGTTACTTTAGTAGAGTTTGTTGGTACTTCCTTAAACAATATGCGATAATCTATACAATGCAGTAAAAATGTTGTAAAAAACACTACAAAAACGAACTGACATAATTCCAGGGCTTCTTGTAGCATCATGCAATAGAAACCATGTTTCTGATGGTATCGGTACATTCTGGAAAAAAATGAATCCAGATCGTCTATATGATTCCATCGTGCTCTAGATTCAACAACATGAATCATAACACCACTTTCTTCTTGGTCACCGTCCTGTAATGCTGCGTAACTCTGCATTTTTATAATTTTTCTGAAATAAGATAACTGTTACAGATAATCAATATATTTCTATTTGTCTACAGAAATCTTTTAATGTCCATGATTGGTGTTTTTTGAATAAAGATAATGCACAGCAATTTAAAAATAAACGCTCTATTAATAATGCATTTTTTTTATTTGAAGGACATGATAACTGAACTTGTTTTCTGCTTAAACTTCAATATACCAAACATAAATATGATACGCATAGGCAACTTAAAATATCTTACCTTCAACAAAAAGGCAGTCGAATTCATTAAGACGCAAATAATAATTTGTGTATTATGTGCACAATAAGGAGAATTTGGCTAATTTTTTAGATCCAAACAAAGAAGTGTCATATTTATTTACGAATATCGTAAGTTATTCATGTTTCATTCGACAGATTGAATAATGACAAAAAAAATATTCAAAAAGGTTTCCAAATATTAGATTAATAGTGTTGTACATGTGTTGTAATTTAAAAATTTTATTATTTAGGACACTATCATAATCTCCTTGCTTACGAAACAAAGCTTTTTTTATCTGATCATTGTTGACAGGTTGACACTTTTTGCTTTCGCGCATATCTTGCGTGTTTATACGGTTAACTCACCATAGATAAGTATGTAAAAAATATCAAACGTAAATGTGTCTCCACAACCAGGCGATAAAATTTATGATAAAATTCAAATTCGTTAAATTACCTAAAGTAAATGAATGCAAACATAATAGAACACCATTAATTATAAATATGAAAAATATGAAGTGATAAAACGAAGTAGTAAATTATTTTAATTAGCGAATGCTATCCTTGTAAATTCTAATATAAAATATAACATTGCCCAATTGTCATTATTATTACGAATTGGTTGTCAAAGTAATTAGGCTAGGTTGGTGTAAGTGCCACGTAATTTTAAATATTAATTAGTGTTAAAAAATGGGTAATTTGGAGAGTGTTGAAATTCCTGGAGGAGGGACAGAAGGTTATCACGTTTTAAGGGTATAATACAGTGTCATTTTTAGTCGCATATTCTCAAGCAGCGGTTCCAGGTTCAAGAAAATTCTCCCGGTAGTAGGGCAGGTCTGCAAGCTTTTTTCGATTTCATTATTTCAATCAATGGAACACGATTGGACCAAGATAATGAAACTTTAAAACAAGTTCTACGCAATGGTTTAGGTATAAAGAAGCTTAAGTAATTAGTACAATTTCTAAATGTTTTTTGTAGGTAAACAACTTCCCATGACAGTTTATAGTAGTAAAACACAAAACGTTCGAACTGTAACAATAGAACCAAGTGAAAGTTGGGGAGGACAAGGCTTGTTAGGGATCAGCATTAGGTTTTGTTCCTTTGAAGGAGCCAATGAAAATGTGTGGCATATTTTGGAAGTTCATCCGAGCTCTCCAGCTGAATTAGCAGGTTTAAGACCTTTTACCGACTATATTATAGGTGCAGAATCTGTTTTGCATGAAAATGAAGATTTGTTTGCTTTAATAGAAGCTCATGAGGGCCGTAGTCTAAAATTATATGTGTACAATAGTGTGGAAGATGGTTGTAGAGAAGTAACAATAACTCCTCATCGTGGTTGGGGAGGAGAGGGCAGTTTGGGTTGTGGAATAGGTTATGGTTATCTTCATCGCATTCCAGTAAGAGGGAATGTCCCTCAAAGAATATATGAACCTCCTACAATCAAAAGACCAATTCAAGAAAACACTGAAAAGTCTAAGGCAAAACCATTTATAAATCCTGATCAATCTAATGTATCATCAGCGTTTGTGAACACTTTTAAGAATCCTACAGTTTCTTCTTCTACTGAGATGACTATCGAAAATCCTAATTTTAACAGTATGACTAACTTTCCTAATCCGCAGATGAATGCATCTCTTCAGAATGTGACAGTGACTTCAACAGTTTTAAATGCATCGTCACCTCTTCCATTGTCAGTTTCTAATGCAAGTATTCCTTCATTTATGTCTGTTCCAACCCCTGTTTCTTCTTCGCAAGTTTTCCAAAATGTAGCACCTGATACAAACACAATGCAGACACCTGCAGGATATTTCTTACCCTCTTCAACACCTGTCGATGTAAACTATCCTGCATTTGTAAATCAAAACAGTATGGTAATTCAGCCATCTCCAGGAACTCCCCTTGTTTCCAAAGACGCCCCTTCCTTGAATATTAGTAGTGTATCTCATGAAGGTATTAATCAAAATTTAAAACATCAACAAACACCGGTAGTTTTTGACCCGACTATTGCAGCGCAATCAGCTCAAAGTTTACTAACAAATATTGCAACTACGACTAGTTAATTCTTTTAATTGTATATTTTATTTAATTAAACAAATAATTGTTAATCTGTGCCTGAAACAAATCTTCAACTAGTAATCTGTGTCTCATGGCATTGGATAATTGTGATGTTTCTTTTTTATAATTCCGTTTAAAATGTATTATTTATCACTAAAAAGAAAATGTCATGTATTTTTAGCTTATAAAGTGTACCTACTACAAACATGTCTATGTTTAAATTAAAATTATTTTTTGTTAAACAATGAAGGGCTTTTTATTATATAAAACTGGATCTTACCCATTTAAAATTTCTTAAATAAGTAAGTACATAATTATTACAAAAATGTACATCATCAAATATTACAAAAAAATGTTTTATTTTAATGGTATATGAGTAGAATTAAAGTGTGTGCATGTATACTCGGGAGTTTACTTTTTGTACTTATACAGCAGGGCGACTTGAAAAGTTTTTTTTTTTATTTTTTTCCACCTCAGTAAATAGTTGAATTGTTTCAATTCAAAGATTAAGATGTGTCTCAGCAAATTGATACGCGCTACAAATTAAAGCTACGATATGAATTAATAATTCTAGTCCACCGGTTCTGGTCGAAATTGTCGCTTTATTGGGCCTAATCGTAAGTAAAGGACATGTATTCTTATGGCGCGCGTTTTGATCAAGCATGCGTGAGCTGTGCGCCCGACCATCCCGCACTCTTTTGGCAAACGTAGAGGAAATCTATAATTTAATATATGGTAATGCAACCTAGACAAACGCTAAGTACTTGAAATATATAATTTTTTTTCAGTGAAAAACTTAATTTTTAAATTAATAGAAATCGTTTTTTATATTTATTTATCGAATTTGAATAAAAATATTGCTTTATCGTACACCCAATAAGTAATTAGGTACTTATATACTTTTTCGTTTAGTTTTTCTAATACCCAATTTATGTTTGAGATAAAAGTTATATTTTTATATAGATATTTACAATTGTACGTTCGTTTTTATCCTATTAATTTAGCATTGTACTATTATTTATATTCCTATTGTTATTTACTTCTCTTTTAATAAACGTGATATTTACCTAATTTATTGTTCTTTTCCTCATTTCAGGACTGCCACTTTAATGTAAGTTACAAAAATATTTATTCCTTAAAAAATCGATAAGTAGTAATAACAATGGGAACTTATTTAACATATAGCTAACAAACGTATTTTTTTGTTAAGTAATTACTGTGATTACGCTTTTTTGTTTTTCCTATATTAAGCATAATAGAAAAAGGCTGTATAGTATAGGTATGTTTTGATTTGCCCATGTGTAGTAAATCTGTATAAATTAAAAATTAGTACTTTTATCAGAAAGATACATCACCTTTATTATTGTATCTAATCTTATATACAACTGTAAGATAAGATGCTCAGAAATGTTCTTACCGTTATCTGAGTTATAAACTAATTAGTATAAGGATTGGTGTGCAAAGATTTACTCAATTCCTATATTGTGTCAATACCTGTGAATAATATATAGTTTGGTTGTAGTTTTAAAAATGCTGAGTTGTTTTTTCAATAGTGGCCCTTCAAAACGGTGGACGTTGCCAAAAGTTCCTCAAGAAAATGGTACACAAAACATCAACGGCCATTACGTAAAACTTACACAAGATACTATAACGATTTTACATACAACGACGAATGACTCGAACTCTGTATCTTATCAAAATGGTACTTCAGAACTACAGGCAGCAGTGGAAACAGAAGAAAAGGCTTCTGACGTTCAAGAAAGGAGATCTGGGGTTCGTGCTCAAACTATCAACACCGATGATCAAAATTTCACATTCGAAGAAATCCCAAAACATAAAAAAAGTAACGAGTATGTCGCTGCTTTTTTATAGTTCACAAAAAATGAACAGTTATATATATTATATAAGTATGTATATATTAAAAAAAATCGTTTTTTAGGGATGAAGATCTTATTAGGACTGCAATTGCGTCTAATGGTTTTCTTCCAAATTTATTGGACGGAGAAAAACTGCAAATGATAGTTGATGCAATGTATCCAAAAGAAGTAAAGTCGAAAGAGATAATAATTAGAGAAGGTACGGAGGGTCATCATATGTACGTGTCAGCATCAGGTGTCTATGAAATATCGATAAAGGGTAAAAACATCAACAACTTCAACGATAATCGAGTTTTCGGTGAGCTGGCGATATTGTATAATGCGAAACGCCAGGCGACAATCCGAGCTCTAAAAGATGGAAAACTATGGGTTTTGGACAGTGAAATTTACCAAAAAATAATGGTACAAAGTGCCATTCAAAAACGAAACGAATTGGTACAATTTTTAAGAAATGTACCTAAATTAAATAAAAAGAGTGATGAGGTATTGGGACTTGTGTCAGACCTTCTTAGAAATGAATTCTTTTTTACCGGAATGGAAATCGTACGTGAGGGCGATAAGGGTGATAAATTTTACATAATCACTGCAGGTTCGGTCTCAGTAACAAAACGTAACGAAGGTAAAGTGGCAACCCTTACCAGAGGACAATACTTCGGAGAAAGAGCGCTTTTAAAAGAAGATTGTAGACAAGCAACGGTTACCGCTGATGCTCCGGGGGTTGAATGTCTAACATTGACACGATCACACTTTGTAGACTACTTCGGCGACATCGATCCAGACTTTATACCGACGACTGAAGAGAAACAAGTAGTCAGAACGAAACTGAAACGCGAATTCGAAGATATAAGGCTCAAAGACTTGATTCCAATCGAAACGTTGGGTGTGGGGGGTTTCGGCAGGGTTGAATTAGTCCAACACAAAACAAAGAAACAGCTAACATTCGCCTTGAAGTATTTGAAAAAGTACGAAATGGTAAAACAGCAGCAACAACAGCACACGTTAAACGAAAGGAACATCCAAATGAGTTGCGAAAGCCCGTTTATAGTGCGTTTGTACAACACTTTTAAAGACGATAAATACCTCTATTTCTTAATGGAGTCTTGTCTAGGCGGAGACCTATGGACTTTACTCCAGAAACAAAAAACTCGACGCTTTGAAGAGTCTGTGGCACGCTTTTACACTGGCTGCGTCCTGGAGGCTTTCGCGTATCTTCACGAACGTGGCATAATCTATCGAGATTTGAAACCAGAAAATCTTCTTTTAGATAATCGTGGTTATCTAAAACTAACTGATTTTGGTTTTGCGAAAACTCTTCCTCTGAGAGGGAAAACATACACTTTTGCGGGAACCCCCGAATACGTAGCACCAGAAATCGTTTTAGCTCGAGGACACGATAAAGCAACAGATTATTGGGCATTTGGAATTTTCATTTACGAATTACTGGTTGGGAAAACGCCGTTTAGAAGTAATGATAGCAGTCACATGACAACCTACAATCTCATTTTGCGCGGAATCGATAGCATGAGGTTTCCCGAAGTAATATCCAGGCCAGCACAAAATTTGATAAAGAAATTGTGCAAATCCATGGCTTCTGAGAGATTGGGTTGCCAGAAAGACGGGGCAGAAGATATAAGACGTCACAAATGGTACCTTGGATTTGACTGGAAGAAATTAAGAAATCGTGCTATCAAGGCTCCCATTGGTATAAATCTTCGAAGTAACATCGATACTCAATATTTTGATAAGTATCAAAAAGATTCAGATATTCCACCTGATGATCATTCCCCTGACTTTGCAGATTTTTGATTTACGTTATTATTCCACACATTACTTTTTTTAACATGTTGCTTTCACTAGTTGATTAACCATTACTTACATCAAGAACCAATGCAGATATATTGTTCTAAAACAGTCGATTCTATTTTTACACGATCTTTTTTAATACGAATTAAAATATAAACTCATTTCACACAATTCTGGAATCCGCTAGTTAAATGGTAGGTAATTTTAAAACTTAAAAGCAGTAAGGTCTTTACGCCAATTGATTGTTTGAGTCTGTTTATTTATTTAAACGTAGGCTTGAGTGTAATAATAACTATTTTTATAGAGTTGAAGGATTGGCAATATATATATATATATACGCTACATTTTTTTTATCATACTCTATCAGAGAGTATTTGTGTAAAAACTTTTGAAATTACTCAATTAAAAACAGTCAGACTATTACTTATGTTTCAATCTCTATTTAATTGTCAATTTAATCAATGTAGCGAAGATAACAAAGTTATTTTTCAATAATGCAGTACACTTATGATGTTTTATTTTATAATCTATTTATATATTTAAGCTTTAGATTAATCCTTAATATTGTTAATTTCTTATAAACACATGTGAAATAGAAATTTCCATTTTATCCTATTTTTTATTTAATGAAAATATCAACATATTTGAAAACCAATTTTACTTTATTTGAATTTGAGATTATTTAATATT